TACAAACAGACTTTTTTGTTGGTAATGTTTATTAATGTAAAAGAATTTCTGATATAACATAACATATGCTAAGTTTTGCTTGCAATCAATTGAATTCGTTTTTGATATGGTTTTTCTCCATCTGAATTGGAAGCTTAGTTGATAATCATTGATGCGATAATTTCATGGGATTATCCAGGTCAAATAATGTGGAGAAAAGAATGCCCTTAAATTTATATGAATCTAGGGTTTACAATCATGATGAGAATGTTACAGCTTCATCTGAGTCGGGTTCTTGGGCAGCTGAGGAGAAAGCATTTAGTAGCGACAACCAAATTTCCTTGGTGAGGAAAGGTGATAAACTTCAGAAAAGGTAATTAATCAATCCTTAACTATTAGCAATATTGGTATTTCTCTTTGGTGGTATTCACTTGGGCTATGCTTGGATGGTTTTTTTGTAACTAGTCCTGCCTCATTTCTTGTAACACATTAATTGCTTGCTTGCGGGCTTGATGTTAATGATGTCCTCTAGCAGCAGTTTCTGTCACAGCTCATGATTTGCATTTCTTTAAATAGTATCAGTTGCACAAGCAACTGCCAAGAAACTCTTGGTCCAACGGATTTCCTGGCTGGACAGTGCTAAAACTGCCATTGCATAAGATCTTGGTCTGTTTTCATTGGGGGCAGGGAGGCGGATATTTCTGCTCATTCAGTCATGTTTTGGCTTTTATATTCTTCTGTAGCTTGTTTTTGGGATTATGTAATTGAATGTCCTTGATGAATAGTTGTTTCTTATCGTAATAAAAAACAAGTAATTTAACTATTGAGAGCAAATTTCTTAGATTATATTCCCTCCATTCTTATTTATAATGTGTTGGAGATATCTTTCACTTGCTTTAAAAAAGTTATCATGTTGTTTTATTTGTTAAAAAAACATCCCAACTTTCCAATTATACACTTACTAATTAAAGGAAGACAATGAGTCATCTTCTTGTTTGTGCAAATGCTTTCTCAATTTAAAGAGTAAAATTAGAAGATTATGTCATCTTTTTGTTTGACACCTTATAATTAGGACCACTTTTTGTTTTTGCGAAACATCTTATAAATAGGACCAAAGTAGTATGTATAGAAAAAGGGAATGGTATTTTACAGTTATTTGGGGTAGTTTTCACTGCTGAAATATTGCTTTGCAGGGCGCCTGACAAAGGCTCTGTTAAAGGTAAACCTAGGAATCTGATTGTCTCTTCAGATGATATGCTTAATGAGAGAGCAAGACCTATGAAGGGAGACAAACTGCTTAAGCGTATCACTTATTCTAGTGAAAGCAACAAATATATGTCATGTATCAAGGTCAGGCACTGCCCCCTTTATCTCCCTCAAATTTTATTTTAATAATTTTTAGTTTTTTTTGGTTTTGTTTTTAAAGTATAGAATTGGCAGGGACAAACATCTTAATGGTTCAGTCAATTATTTTATTAATTTCAGCAATTAGAAGGACAAATGTTGGTCTTTCAATTATGCTAATTGTATTGTCCCAACTCCTATATGATAATTAAAAGTAAACCTAAGTTTTCAAGTCTGTCTCTTCGTTGGAGATTGCTGTGTTCATAAAATTCTTCTGTGATATTATTCAAAGCTTTTACTGTGATGTTTGTTTTTCCATTAATCCCCCCCATAAAAATTGCCGCCTCTTTGATAGCAAGGACTAAATCAAATGTGTTGTTGATATTTCTATGAATTATTCTCTTCTTTCTTCTCTTTCAGGATGAGCTAGTCTTTTTGTCCCCTGGGTAGGGTGTTCTATTAAATATCTGTTGGATTTTCTGATATCTTTTTCTGTGCCTGTCAGATTAGCAAGAAGCAGCATGAACTTGTTAAGAGTATGAAACAGACTGGTAAAAGTATCGAGTCTAGATCTCTCAACCGTGTTTTGGGTAATCTTGATAACATTCATGTACAATCATATGAAGTATTCATCAAGGAAGAACAGAAGAAGTTGCATGAGCATTGGTTAGTATGTTGTCTAGAGCATTTCTTTAGCTGCTGCCTTGTAAAAATTGTGTTGTTCCTGCTAATTCAAAAGCATTAATTGTATAGGTTGCAGTTAGTGAACAAAGACCTCCCTGTGGCGTACACAAACTGGACACAGAGGCATAAACAAAGAAATGCTGTGATAATTTCTTTGGTGGTGGAGATCAAGGATAAACCGAAGAAGCTGCTGTTAGAGGTTTGTAATTATGATTTTTTTTTGAACAAAATTCATAATTTCCTAGGATAGAGCTTGCAGGTCTTGTATGAGATTTTGGAATATCCGGGAGATATTTGGTTTTGCTGTTATTTGTTGCTGCATAACAGTGGAGCAGCTTATTAGTGAACCTGTCAGTACGTTTACAATTATGTTTGGCCCTTTAGGATGAGGATGGTGAGAGCTCGGGGAGCAAGCTTCAAGATCAGGAAGAGGATGGAGGTCATGATGATCAGTCTATCTCAAAAGACACTGAAGATTCTATTTCTAGATCCCCAGAGAATCAGTCCCTAACACATAATTCATACCGAGGCAGTGACAATGAGGTCAACTCCACATTGTCAGATTCTGAAAAGACTCTTGTTTTATCAAAATCAGGTGATGATTTGCAGAAAGAAACTGAGTATTCAAGGAATATGAACACTCAAGATGTTCCTGTTGGTGAAGGAACTCCTTTTTCTTCTCGTGGCGGTGATGTCTGGCAAGCACCTGAAATGCCACATTCTTACTATGATTCTGGTGGGACCCATGAATATACAGCTAGTGGAATGTCACTTGCAAACCCACAAGTAAATGAAGAGCAGCAAACCCATCTGATTGATCTAGAATCTGACTTGCATCAGGAAGAGACCAGTAAAAAATTACAGAGGCAATCAGGTGATGGATCCTTTAGTTATCCAAACCAAGATCGTAGTGATTTGCTCCAATCCCTATTCAAGGGAGAGGGAGTGTTATCTTATCATCAAGAACAAAAAGGAGCCGGGTTAGATTTCCTGAGTTCTAACAATGCCATGATAGGGGATGGTCAATTTTCTGGTCATTTCAAGGAGCCCCTGCCAACATCATTTACATTGGACCAGGTGCATCGGAGACCTAGTGAGGTTTACATGCCAGAAAACATCTCAGATAATATTTATTCAGATGGAGGTAGCAGATACATGATTCCCAGGCAAGATCCATTATCTGCAGTAAATATGAGTGATTGGGCTGGTAATGCTTCCCGCATGTCTGCACCTCCTCAATCTCACTTGAATACAGGAGAATTCATTGGTCAGCATTGGTTTCCTGCTGACCATCAAGTTCGTGGTGCCTGGAGTGGATCTGATGGCGGTAGTCTGTCAAGTCAGAGTCTTAGCACAGGAGGCAATTCTGATCAGAGCTTATTTAGTGTTCTATCTCAGTGTAACCAGTTACGAGCAGCAAATCCCTATGACCCAGTCAGACACACTGACCAATTCGTTACAACCAGATCCTATGGAGCAGTAGATGCTAGCATACCCAGGCTAAATGCAGCTGTACCTCAAACTTCTCATCCATTAGATTACTTAAGTGGACGTGAGGCTCATAGTTCTTTGCTGCCTGATGATTCGGCATGGATGAACTTACCACATCAGAATCCTGCTTTACTTGATCAAATGGGAAAGCCGTACTTGAGGTCGTGGAATCGGTGACTGATATTTTCCCCTTCCAAGGGTTTTAAGGGTTTAGAGCTTGATTGCAAGGCAAAAAGAATACATGAGGGATGCACATTCTGTGTATTTTTAGTATTTTTGTGACTTAAGCAAAATTCACAGAAGGGGTGGATACGTACCCTGTGATTAGTAGGTTTCTGTACATACTTATACCAAGGTCAACTCAAACACCTTGTTGTATATATCTAGATGTTAGATGGGCAGGCAGGCAGCCAAGAGAGGGTAAGAGGGAGTTCTAGAATCTCTCGTTAGGCAAGTTACAGTTTACATTCTTATTTGCGATTTTTTTTCCCTTTGTTTCTCGAGAGACATTCTTTAATAATTCTGGAAGGTATGAAATTCTGTGGCAAGTGCCTTTTTTTTTTTCTTAATGGAAAAAATTTGTCTGGGTTACCTCTTGTTTTAGCTTGGGTAATGATGCTGACAATAAGTTTTTGCCTTTTGTTGACCATGATGGCTGTCAAGTTACATGGATGATTTTCTGATTTCCTGATCCCATTTGGATCTTGCAAAAAAAAAAAAAAATGGGGCTTAATTCAGTTAGTCAGCCGAAATGGTACGTAATTCGGGGTTCTAACTTCCACCTAGTTCAGTCGCCAAGGCGCAGGCTTCGAGCCTCGGACACGAGGCTAAGGTTGAATGTAATGCACCAGCTCGCTAGCGGATTTGCGGTGATACACAAAAAGCTGCCAAATAATTGTTTTGACCTCCACGACCTGGAAACTCCAATAATGATGGACGGTGTCATCGCATTGTCGGCATTTCTTCAGCCACACATCACCATCCAATAATCTCCCGAGTGTCTATCTAATAATGGTTAAAACTGTCCCTGGGTTTCATTCGGGTCCCCCCCCCCCCAAAAAAAAAAAAGCAAAGGATTTTTGTTTCTAAGTTATTATCGCCATGCTCGAAGTCCAACTTTTTAACTCCACGGTTGAACAGATTATATTTTTTTTATTTCTAAATCCAAACGAGAGAATATGTGCCTTGTTCCTTGTAATTACAAATGGATAAACCATTTTTTTCCCAATTTTTGTGATTATTTTAGAATTGACTGCCCCAAAACTTACTAATTACCTTTCTGAACTGAATCATTAATGAAATTGGGTCTAGTAGAAGGATTAATTTCTCACACAAGAGTAAATCTATTCTCAAATTTTTGAATTTTTGTTGTACGAAATTTCCACATTTAATTATCTATCATGCCTCCAACTTGCTGATAAAAAAAAGAAAAAGAAACTTTCCGAAATGAATCGACTGATCAATTACAATTATAACTTCAAGAATTTATTTCTTGCATTTTGTTCTGCCTCCGAAGTCCGTTGAAAGTAGAAACCGAAGCAACTCGCTGAAGGCCTGAAAAAAAAAAAAAAAAAAAGCCGAAAGGAGGAAACCGAAGAATCGTTTGCTTGAAAACGCAAGGTGTACGGCCAACGGTGAGGGGCGCGAGTTTTATAGAAACTTACTGTTTCAGCTTTTTGGGCGCGGTTCTTGTAGTGGTACTTTGAAGTTCCTCTACCTTGTCTCCTAAGCATGAATTGATTCTATGATGGTTGATAAAGAAACCCTACTATTTCGTCTACCTTCCTCTTAATTATGTTATAAACGATTCCATTAAGTCCTCATTGATTCTAATTTCAAGGTCTTGGGTGAGGGAGGGAGTTTCAGAGACAGGGACGCGACTTGATAGAGGAGGTTGCGAGTAAAAATGGCTCATCTGCATTCACACGGAGCCGATCACAAAAAGAAAGAAGTCATCCGTTTGGAGCGCGAATCGGTCATTCCAATTCTGAAGCCCAGGCTTATCATGACGTTGGCCAACCTTATTGGTATGTTGTGGCCTTGTACTCTAGCACCCACTTACTCCAGCCTCGCATATGAAATTGTTCAAATGTTGTTGTGGTGTTTCTCGTTGTCAAAGGCGCACTTTTGATTCTGTTTGCACATTGTACTGTTGTCTTTTTGTTGTCTATGCATTGAAGGTATATCAAGTGTCACGTTTAGATTTTTTGCGGGGAAATACTGGTCAATGATCATTTTTAATGCAGGTGAACTACACTGTCATAAATGTACATCTTGGGTGAAATTTGCTTGTCCGTTGCTTTTCAGTCAATCTTTGGGGAATATTTCTGACTTCACATCGAAAGCAACATTGATCATGAACTCGCTCCCTTATCAAATTGAATTATTTTGTAGTGTTTTCAGTTCAAGTTTTTAGTCTAGCTGAAAAATAAAATAAGAATAGCTTTCCCATTTCTGCAAACTTGGTTTCCTCTTCCTGGCTTTAAGTCTCTTGACTTTTCTGCAGAACATAGTTCGGACCGGGCTGAGTTTTTGAAGCTCTGCAAGAGAGTAGAGTACACAATCCGAGCTTGGTACCTTCTACAATTTGAGGATTTGATGGTATTATTCTCTCCCTGACCTTTTGGAGATATAGCCGTTGATACATTGCAGAGCCTGATTATTTTGTGCCTCAGCAACTCTACTCCCTCTTTGACCCTGTACATGGGGCCCAGAAGCTGGAACAACAGAAGTTAGCCCCTGAAGAAGTTGATGTACTTGAACAGAACTTTTTGACTTACCTATTTCAGGTATTATGGCTACTTCATGGATGTATAATATTTACAAAATTCGTGTGGTTCATTAATATGATTTAGATTTGATGACCTCTCACAATGACACTCCTAGTAGAACATTACTCAGTGTGTTGCTACTCTTTGCTAATAACTTCTGTATAATGGTCTCCATCAACATGTTTTGTATCCTCAAATGCTACGTATCATGTGATGACAGTCAGTTCGAAGCTGATCCTGTTTCACCTTCAATGTGCTTTGTATCAATTGAGATTCTTTTCTATGAGATTCTGTCATGTAACAAAGACTTGAGGGTTAATTTTGCTGTTTGTTATCGAGAAAACATTGAAGGGTCAGGGTGAGTCTGGGTGTGAAATGATGGCTTATAATTGATCACTATGCAGCTCTCTCTTGTACATAACTAACTTCAAAACCAGGACAAGGTGTTTGGGAAATAACATTTTGATGACACACAAAATGTGGGAGCTGAGTGAGCCAAAGTAGTATGGCGTATATATATCTTAAATATCCATCCCTTATAGTATATTGCATTCTTTATGTAGGTAATGCAAAAGAGCAACTTCAAGATAGCAACTGATGATGAGGTTGATCTTGCACTTTCAGGGCAGTATCTTCTAAATCTTCCCATTACTGTTGATGAATCTAAGGTTGTTCTAATTCTTGTGCCTTTGTAATATTTCATTGTTAGTTACTATATGCAACCATTATGAGCATGCTATTTGAGTCTGATGGCATAGGTTATTTGGGATATTTGATTGTGCATAACATTTGATGATCTTTGTGCATTTGCTGTATTCAGCTTGACAAAAGGCTTTTGAAGAAATATTTTGAAAGTCATCACCATGATGACCTGCCGGATTTCTCTGATAAGGTAAGATCTTAAATCTAGTACAAGGGGTAATGCTCATTAGGATTTTTTTCCCCATGGAGGCCTGGAGGATGGGAGTTAATTAAGAATTGAAGGGATGATATATGCTTATCTTGAAGCTCTGAGTCATCACATATCATCTCTTTGACATTTTCAGGTCTTTTAATTTGTGATCTTGTGTTACTTTTGTCCTGCCTGGTCTGCTCTACATTTTGACTTTCGCATGCTTTGTCAATTTAGTATCAAGTGCATGATATTTGGTCTCAAGCGGTGAATTGTGTATAATTTTCATAACTTTGATCTTCCAGATGACACTCATTACCAAGATAGAAGCAAGTAAAACATTTGACAGAAAAGTTTATATTGTTAATCTAGGTTTGTTCAAGTCATTTGAAATTTTGAAAGTCCTTGAACTTTTTAACATCATATAATATCATGTAATGAGTCTCATAGAGGATTCAAGTTACTGGCTTTGTCACAGAAAGTTTAATTATAGTTATCATGATCTTATTTTTTTTTTATCCTTTTTCCTGAAAGATATAAGTGTGCTCCTTATGTGTTTTTCGTCAACAATCACATGAAAGATTTGTCATATGCTGGGATCAAATTAATTTTAGTCTTGGGTGAAATATCTCTTCTTATTCTTAAAAAAATTTGATGTGGTTTCAGTACCTTCTGAGTTCTTACTTTATATATGCAGAAGCAGTTGGTCTTGCTTGATGGAAGGAAAACTGGTTTCTCTGATTTGACAATTAGATTCCAATAATAATAATAATAAAAAAAAAGATTCTAACATGTTTTGTGCGTCATATTTATTAACATTCCTGAAGGGGCATTTTCATTAGATGTTTAATCTTGATGACTTAATGAAAATGCCCTTCTTAGCTATCAGAGTGAGGTCTTCATTGCTGATCTCTGAACTTCTTATGATAAACAATTATTTGTGTTTGTAAACAGCAACAACGTATTATTTGCCTTTGCACTAATGGTTTAATGCCACATTTTCAGTTGATTTCTGATGGCCCAAAAATAAAAAAAAAAGTTGACTTCTCTTGATCACACTCACTTGTGAGCTAATGCATGAGTATTATCTCGTTCCTTGTTATTGGATTGTTTTGCAATCTAATACATCTTATTTTTCTAGTATGTTATTTTTCGCCGAGGCATTGGAATTGACACAACAACTGATTACTTTTTTATGGAGAAAGTAGACATGATCATTGGACGTTTTTGGGCATATCTGTTAAGACTGACTAGGTAAGCAAACTTTTGGACCGTCAACTGAATTTGTTGATTGATGCTATTGAAGAATCTATTGTCAGATTTTAATAGATACCTGATTATTTGAAATTTTTGTCACTTTCAAATCCTGCAAAAGTATTTGAAGCCATTATATGCATGAAACTGAAACCTTTTCTTTTTTGCATGCCTTATAAGAATTAATGTAATAAGCTCACCTTTAAACTGAAAGGATTTATCTTTGGAAGTGTATAATTTGCTATTACCTGTGAATATGTTAGGGTGAAAATAGCATGCTTCTTAGGCTAACTTCTGAAACATAATATAAATTATGGTTCTTGCAGGTTGGAAAAGTTATTCTCTCGAAGGTCAAAAAGACATCATAAGAAAGGCCCAAAGAAGGATGATGATATTACATCTGAAGCAGAGCGAGATGACCTCTATGTTGAACGAATTCGCTTAGAAAATATGGAAATAAGGTCTTTTTTACACATTTTTTGTGGACTGTTGCTGTTGTCATTTTGTGTTTTCATCGCATCTTTTTGGGCTGGGGTTATTCTATGTGCAATTACTTTATAACTTTTTTGTTTACCTATAATATCTTCTTGACATAGATGGTGACCATTCAGCAATTTCAATCAAGTTTTTTTAAGACTTCTGTGAAACCTGAATTCTGGCATTTTCACTTCAACTAATGATTTAAATTTATGTCTCATGAAATTTTCAATATTACACAATTACTTTGTAATCGCATTCATCACATTTATATTATTCCAAATTTCCAACCATGGGAAAGAGTTCATAATGAACATGTAGAGGCTGATAGTCAACCTGGACGGAAGTTTGACCACTTCTTCAGCTGAAGTACTAGTGCTTGAAGACTTTAACTGTGTTGAGAAATCTCAAACTTCTAATTGATGCATATGGGTTGAAGCCTCGACTTTCTCGTAGATCTAGAAAATATGATCAGAAGTTTAAAATTGCATGTGCAATCAGTCAATCTATTTCTCTGAGCGACACTGAATGTTTTGTTCTGATTGAAACTGTGGATGCATCTAAATTGCATGATTTGATGATCTGGACTTGAAATTCATGAGATTGTTTGTTGCCACTGCCAGTTTTCGCAATTTGCTGGGCAAGAACACCATACAGGAACCCACCTTTGATAGGATAATTGTTGTCTACAGGTGATCCTTCCTCAAATCTTTAAATGCTACTGTGCTATTTTGTTGCTAAACCTATGGTCCTGTCATCTGAGGATTCAAGAATTTTTTTTGAACAGTCTTCTTCCTGATTTAGTGCATATTCTATTTCCATTTCATAGCTCAAGTCACAGTTTCTCCAATATTGTAATTTGGTAATGTATGAAAATGTGAGGGATTGTAAATACATACTGGGGGTTGGGTTTGTGTTGAGCAATGCTTGGAATTAATTTGCAATAATCCATGCATGTTAGTTTATTGAAATCTAAGGAATGATGATGCAGGCGAGCTAGTACCAAATCTAAAGCAGAACGAGGAATATATGTTAAGCACTTCAAAAATATTCCAATGGCTGATATGGAGATAGTGCTCGTGAGTGACCTCTTTTATGCTTGCATTGTCTTGTCCCTCATTTCATCACTATGATCAATGAATCAATCAATCACCTTATCCTTCAATGTACATAAAGTGATGATCTGCTCATGAACATTTTTACCCAACAGCCAGAAAAGAAAAACCCTGGATTGACTCCAATGGATTGGGTCAAGTTTCTTGGGTCTGCTATAGTTGGTCTGGTTAGCCCCCCCACCCTTAATTACTACTACTTAATGCCAATTAATTGTTCCTTGTTTTATTCCTATTTTTTCTCATGCACTTTTTTCTCTTCTGTCCACAGGTAGCAGTTATTAGCTCACTTGAAATGCCTAAAGCTGACCTGTGGGTCATCATGGCTGTTCTTGTCTCAGTCATTACTTATTGTGCTAAGACATACTTCACGTGAGTCTGCAAATGTTTCCTTTCATGGGAAACATGTATTTTGCATAATTTGATGGGAGGATTGCATGCTACTTCAAGATTTACATTTGTATAAAGTTTTCTTTCTGCCAGTTGACCTAAGTCATGGTTGCCTATTGTTAACTTCCGTCATATTTTCAATGGATCTTTAAAATTTCCATAGGTTCCAACAAAACATGGCTGCATACCAAAACTTGATTACACAGTCAATGTATGACAAACAACTGGATAGTGGAAAGGGTACACTTCTCCACTTGTGTGATGATGTCATTCAACAGGAAGTAAGTGCTAGCTGTATGTGCTAATAAAGTGGTAGTTGATTATTTTTGTCAAATATTGACTACTTTTATGAACTGGACCTGATTCAGTGGTTATACTGGAATAATTGGGAATGGATCAGTGTATTACTTATCCTGAGTTTCATCAATTAGCAGATTCTTTCTCAATTAAAAGAATGTAGTTGGCTTATGTTATGTCAATACTAAGGAGCATCGATGTCATTGTTGTTGGAAGACACTGCTAACTCTTTATCGGGCCATATTGTGCTTTTGCTGTATGTCTTTGGCATATGTCTATGTACTTGTGAAACATTTGAGGCTATTGATTTCAAACTCCGATTTGCAGGTCAAAGAGGTGATTGTTTCATTCTTTATTTTGATGGAGCAGGGCAAAGCAACTAGACAGGTGTAGATACCAAAATTTATTAGTAGCTTTCTATACATTACACCCTTTTTTATCTAGTGATGTTATTTTATTTATATTTACCAATATGCTTACAAATGGATTGATCATTGATCATCAAACAAGTGGAGGTCTTATTCATGGTTTACTGCTTCAACTGTGGTCAAATCAAGATAATTAAATATATTTTTTAATGGTGTGAGGTGTTTTTTAAGTGTTCTCTTAGAGGTATTGATACAAGATATCTGGTAATGTGAATCAGGATCTTGATCAATGGTGTGAGGAACTAATAAAAGAAGAATTTGGGGAGAGCTGCAATTTCGATGTGGATGATGCAGTTAATAAGTTAGAGAAGTTGGGAATTGTTACTCGGGTGAGATTCCTTATAATTTTCTTCTTTGGTTAAACTGTTTTTATCTGTAGTGAAGTATGTAATAACTAATACTAGGTTGCTTATAAGGAGATCGAATCTGATTTGATTTCTGGGGTAAATTGCCATGGTTTAATTTTGCAATTTTCATAGTATAAGCAGTTGAGGAAATAATGGTTGAATTTGGACTCTTCTCTTTGCTGGTTATGGTTGAGTTGTATATAGTCTTTTTCATGCATCAGTTACACTCATTATGGATATCAGTTTAACCGCAATGATTTTATGTGAACTGAAGAAAATTACAAAATCACAGGATCCTGGCAAGTTGTGCACACTGCACGCCTCTGTGATGATGTCATTGTCTGAAATATCTTTTTAAAATTGTTGTAACCCAAAATTTGTAGCCCTGAAGATTTCGATGCATTATTTGACTGGAGGCTCACCTGGAATGCAGGATTCTATTGGCCGGTTCCAATGCGTGGGGCTGAAACGGGCCAACGAGATCATTGGAACGACCACTGAAGAGCTGGTCCTTAAGGCAAAACAGGGAAGCGTTTCTCCTTGATGGCGTTTTTATAAGGTTCTTGTTTTATATTTATTTAAAAAAAATGGTGTGTGCCTAGTACATGCGTAAATTTTAATTGATGACATTATACCTTCCGATTTGGTCTGAGGTTTAGATTCACTCGTGTCTCAGGGTTGGAGTTAATGGATTGATGTTTTGCGTAACTTTGTGTTGAATATTTTCTATGGAACTTTATGTTCCCTTGTATTTGTTCCTTAAAATTTATTAGCCACTTTGATCTTTATTCTAAAACCAGCTTCCAGATTCTTAAACGCTCTCGGTCAGAACCGTGCCTCCCTCACCGCCATTTTTCTGGCTTTCACAATCACAATTCTCAACTTGGTGCCTTCAACCTCTCGTTTTCTTTTCCCTTTTTTTTGGGCCAATGGTAATTCTCACAACTCAAGATCTTCAGCGAATAAATATAGAATGCAGCCAAATGGATGTGCACAAATGGTAGCAATCTGGGCCCTTAAAGCATCATTCAATGTTTGATTTTTGAAGGTGTGCAAAAAAAAATATTACTTTTAAAAATAGATAACCTTTTAAATGATATTCAAATCCTTAAAAAAATTAATCTTACGGCTGCCGACTGAAGATATTTCGGGCAACCAAAAAAAAAATATTGAATGCAAATGCGGGGGGGGGGAATCTAAATCCAGAGTAATGAGAGAAAACAAGGATATATATATATATATATGGGCAACCAAAAAAAAATATTGAATGCAAATGCGGGGGGGGGGGGGGAGGAATCTAAATCCAGAGTAATGAGAGAAAACAAGGATATATATATATATATATATATATATAATGTAACCCTTCCTAATTTTTTCCTTTCGAAATGAAGGTTAAATGCAAATGAACAAATAGATCAGATTAAACATTCCAAAATGTTGTCGTTTTGTTGCCTACTGGATTGCGGAGTGACTTATGCTAGGATCAAGGTACTTTACGTTGGCTCCAAGAGAAATTAGGAGACAGAAGAACATGCGAGGTAACCTTGTAAGTCCTCCACAATTGACATGCGACTTATCTGGTGACGTTCTATTGAGGTGAAATGTACGCTACAGGAATTTGTGCTTCCAACTGAAATTGAGATCTCCTTAAAAGAAAATTTCAAGGGATGGGATTCCCAAATTTAATTCCCATTTCCTGTGATTCTACTCACATTGCAAAAATAAGAAAGACTCCGTCTAAAATCAACAGCAATGAAACTGTAATGCAGCCTAATTTTGTAAGGAACTAAACTCAATAGTTTGACATCATATACTGTGCAATTCCTTTTAGCATGAGATTTCTCACTCACTAATCATCCAACGTAACTGAGAAACATGCTCAGATGAATAAAATGAACAGTTGGGGTTATAGTGTGTTTGATGAAAGACAGATGCTCAGAAAATGGTAATAAAGCTCATGTTTCTTTCCTGATTAGAAAGCAAAATTCAAATAGGCCGTACACATTATGAGTTAGCACTTAGCAGTGAGCCAGTGACTAAAATTATTAATAAAAAATAATCTGTAGGTTAGGAACTGGATAACTACGCATTTTGATGAAGGCATATCTCGCGGAAAAGATTCCACCTGGTCTTGTTAACAAAGTTTAAGCAGATGTATATACGTGTCTCAAGTTCTTCCATGAGGAGGAGAAAGTTTTTAGAGTCCCTGCGAAGATGCTTGATGACCTCTTGCATGGCATATCTATTTTTACCCATCTCTAGGCCAAGGCGAACGGAACGCTTGTCAGCTTCAACTGCGCCGTGTAGCCGAGCAACAAGGCGATCAATCGTATCAAGATCTTTGTTCAGTGTATAAGTACCCTTCGAAGCGGCTTCAAGCTGCGCCAATCGAGATAGTTCCTTCTTTTTGGGGTTTTTGGGAGGGGAGATATATGCAGGGCAAACCGGAGCAGCGGCAGCAATGGCTACAAGTGCATGGGTCGTGACCACAACGGCGGATACAACCACTCCCACAGCGCCGGCAACGAAGCAAAGTGCCGAACCATTTGTAGCACCACGGAGAAGGCGTAATTTGGAGCGAGACTTTCGGAGAGAACGATGAAGTTGTCGGTCAAGATCAGAAAAGGAGCTGCGCATGTTGCTGAAGTCATGTGAATCGTGGGAGGGAAAAGGATTGTTTTGAGCATCGAATCTGAAGAAGACGTCGAAGGCATAGTCACACTGGGGTTGAGTGAGGTGATTAGAATCGGAGGAAAGAACGGAGAGAAGGTCAAGAAGAGGAGCGTACATGCTACGGGCACAATTGAGACTTCGGTGAAGTAGGAGGCAAAGTTCGAAGCGGTCTCGCTGTGGTCGAAGTAGGAAGAAACGAGGCGAGTCAGAGAATTGGGCTTGGGTTGTGCGAGAGCTTCTTGGACGCAATATCGGTCAGGTTGAAGCACCTTTTCCAGGATTTTCCTTTGGGAGTCTCCCTCGGGCTCGGCTGGGCCATCGACGAGCTCAGGATGGTCTTGCGAAAGATCGCGTCCAGAGGGGTCAAATACTTCTATCTGTATTATCGATCGAATCTCTTGGTAGGAATCGCCCTGTATAGTGCGATTGAATTCGCGAGACACCACATTTAGGGCGGGAGAGGACTGAGTGCTGGTAACGGGAGTGGTCTCTGTGGAAAACCCTGGCAGTCCAAGCTTCAGTCAGACATTCATACAAACACCCATCGGGAAAAGAAACTGAGCCCTCTTTCACGAAGAATAAAGCGATTCAAAATTTTGTTTAGAGGGGAGTGATTGTGTAATATGATCTTACAATCAAAGTGGATGCTCCAAAACTGAGAGCCCCGGTGAAGAAAGAAATAATTTTGGAGTTACCTTGGCCAGGAACAGGCGGATTAGCGGCCGGAACAGGCGCTGAAGACCACGTCAATGATCCGAAGGAGAGACATTCCAGCATTCTTCGTTTTCCCAGTCACTTCTTCTATATTCGGTGGCTTTTGTAAAAGGGTCTCCCTCTCACGCATCAGTAACATCAAAAACCTGATTGGTGATTGACTTCTCTTGTTCTTGAGAGATGGAGGCTCTTTACTTGAAGCGGCAAGAGACTCAAAGCAGAGAAACAAAGTGCGACTTTTATTCGTATAGATATATAAAATCTATTTTTTATTCATTCTTTATTTTACCTCAATTTTTCTTTAAATATTGGATCGTCAGTTGGTTGGACAAGATTCCTCCACTAATCTTTTATCTCTGCTTTGTTGGGTATTATCAAATTTCTAAATGAGACTTCCTCCCCTGGTTTTCCATTTTTCGTCGTCCGGATTCAAAGCGACTAAAAATCAGTCACTGCATCGCGGTCTACGTTAAAATTAAATTTTCGTCACAAATATCCTAATTTCTTTCTTTCTTTTTATTAAGAAAAACAGATTACCTTTTGACAAAGAAAACACGTACAAATTACCACACACACTAATGCTAGAAGCATGCAGAGGCCGCGTGAATGAGGAGCATGAATCTCTTCTTTTTCTCCTTCTCATCCTCTTCCTTTTTCTTTTCATTCTAGCTATTAAATCAAGACTTAAACGGCTAAAATTTAATTTTTTAAAATATTAAATTATAAAGAATATAAATAATAAAATTCAAAGTGCTAAAATTTAATAGGAACAACTAAAAATACGATAAAATAAAATAAAATGTTTTGAAGGAGATTAAATTTGAATCATTTAAAATCTTGATCTAATAGATAAAAAAAATTTAAAAAAAAAAGAGGAGGGAAAGAATGAGCAAATGGCAATTCAATTCTGAAGGACTTTTTCTTTTATCTCGCCGACATCTTATGAGGAAGTATACTCATACTCAGAGTCATAAGTTTGACAATCATGTTCATTTAGTCAATATAAAATCAATACACATATGCTTCATTCCGCTCTAACTGTAAAAGTTTGTTTTTTAATTTTTATGGGCCAAGAGTAAATTAAATTACTTGTTATTTGAAATTAATGTGTCAACGGACTATTACTCTTAATCATTTAAATTTAAATAGTATAAATTTAAGAAATGGTGCATTGAACAGGGTACTTTGCCCCCCCCCCCCAAAAAAAAAAAGTTAATATAGTAGAGGAAAGAGAATGAGATCTTATATCTAGAAACAAACCAGAATATGGAGTTTTTTGAAAACTACGCTATTGACACTAATTAACAAGCTGAACTCCCGAAAAATGAACGAGAATAACGTGAGGGTTCTCTCACTAATAGAAAACCCAACACCACTAATGTTTACTATGAGTACAAGGGAATGTTATCGGGCACTCGTAAAATGGTAGAGAGCCCATTCCATATTTTCGTTCCCGGTTAGCAAATATGTTCAAATAGGCGGTGGCGTCGTGAACATGATGAGTTGGAAGGCATTCAACAAAAAATTGATCCGTAGGTTAGGAACTAGGCGTTTTGATGAATGCATATCTGGCGGAGAAGATTTGATCTGGTCCTGTTAACAAAGTTTACGCTGATGTATATAGTTGTCTCAAGTTCCTCCATCAGCTGGCGCAAGCTCTCGTACCTCTTGCGGAGCAACTTGACGACCTCTTGGATGGCATATCTATCATTACCCATCTCCAAACCAAGACGAACAGAATGCTTGTCGGCTTCAACTACTCCGTGCAGCAGAACAACAAGGCGATCAGTTGAATCGATATGTTGTTTCAGAGCAAAAGTAACCCTCGAAGCTGCTTCAAGCTGCGCCAATCGAGCGAGTTCCTTCTTTTGGGGGTTCATCAAATGAGAGAATGCAGGGCAAACGGGAGCAGCAACAGCAGCAATGGCGACGAGCGCATGAGTCGCGACGACAACGGCAGTTGCAACCACTCCCACGGCGGTAGCAATGAAGCAAAGAGCAGAACCAGCAGTGGCACCACGGAGAAGGCGTAACTTGGAACGAGACTCTTTAAGACAGCAACGAAGCTGTTGGTCAAGTTCAGAAAAGGAGCTGCGCATGCGGCTTAAGTTAAGGGAATCACTGGAAGAAAACGGATTGTCTTGAGTATCAAATCTGAAGAAGATGTCGGAGGCACGGTCACACTGGGATTGAGTAAGATGACCGGAATCGAAGGGAAGAACGTGCAGAAGGTCACGAAGAGGAGCATACATGATACGCGCACAACGGAGACATCGGAGAAGTAGAAAGCAGAGTTCAACGGCGGCCTCACTGCGGTCGAAGTAGGTAGAGATGAGGTGAGTCAGAGAATCGGATTTGAGTTGTACGAGAGCTTTTTGGACGCAATCTCGGTCAGGTTGAAGCAGTTTTTCGAGGAATCTCCTTTGGAAGTCTCCGTCGACGAGTTGAGGTTGGTCTCGCGGAGGATCGTTTCCAGAGGGGTCAAGTACTTCTATCTCAATTATCGATTGGATCTCTCTGACAGAATTGCTGAGTACGGCGCGATCGAATTCGAGAGATACATTTGGGGCTGGCGACGACTGCGTGCTGGCAACGGGAGTGTGCTCCGTCAAATGCCCTGAGACAGTTCATGATTCAGTCAGATATTAATACAAAATTCTTTTTTGGCGAAGACTAAACAATTCGAGTTGTTTGGCTGGAATGGGTATGATTGTGAGTGAAATGATCCTATAATCGAAGAAGATACCCCAAATCTGAGAGGCCCGGCGAAGAACGAAGGATATTGATTTACCTCCGAGGGGAGCAGGCGGATTAGGGGCTGGAGCAGACGCTGAAGACAACGACGTCAACGATCTGGAGGAGAGACATTTCAGCATTCTTCGTGTTCCCAACCTTCCCACACGCTTCTGTAATCCTGTTTACTCTTTTGGCCCTTGAGAAAGCGTCGCTCAGTTTTATAGCGTTGGACTTCCCTTCGGGTCTGGTGTGGCGGCCCAGAAAGCGGAACACGAGGCGTGACGTGATGATCTTGCGATTTTATTGAATTTAAGATCACCCTTCGCCTTCCTGTGTTTATGATAATTCTTTTATATGGTTGAGTTTTTTAAAAGTATCGAACTCAAACCTAAAATATTCTACTTACAAGGTTGTAGCTCTTTTCATTAGAACAAATGTAATTAATAATTTTTTATTATTTTTCTAAAAATCAATTTGAAAACTTATTATCTTCTTTCAATTTAAAATATAAAACATTTTTAATTGTATCTCACTTCTTAATAAAATAATTATTTATTTTTAAATTAATATTATTTTTTATATTTGTTATTATTTAATAAGATGTTTTATTTTAAAATAAATATAAAATAATTTATTTATTATAAATATTTAAAAAAACACATTAATTTCAAATTGAAATATTAAAAGTATTTTATTTTTTTTAATGGATGGGATATATCTTTATTATTCATGAACACCTATTTAAAAAAATCATATTCCTAAAAATTAACCAACAAAGGACAAGAACCAACCAAGGACTGGACATGTACAGCCAGAAAAAAATTTCAAAAGCAGTTTTTTGGGAACAATTCAAAAACAAATATTTAAATCATAATTTGTAATTTTAAAACTTGAACTCGACATATTGGTCGACCTCAGGTGGATGTGAAGACAGGGTTCCTTCTCTTCCATTCTTGCTTCTTACATTTTAGGCGGTGTGGGACATCTAAAACGGTCATACTTTTTGCTTTGCCATTGCGTCCAGGACCCCACTACCTCAGTACACACATCCTCGCCACCATACAACCAGCTGCACAGTGTTGTTAGACTCCACATCCATTCCCAAAGCAGGGTTTTGGGATGAGGCTCTTAATTAATGTTACGTTTTGTCTCACCCCCGTATGGAGTTAGAAATAAAAGTCGGATCTAGTGGGAGCTTGTTTTAATAAGAATTTGAGGTTAAAAATTTAATATTTTTTAAAATAATTGAGTTTTAAAGCTCAATCCTTTTAAACCTTAAAAAAGAACTCGGGTTTGAGTAACTTGTTAAATTCATTTAACTTTTTTTTTTTGCTTCTCTGTTAGACTTTGGAGAATGGCTGAATTAAGGTTGGATTTTCAACCTCCAAAGAAATCTTACACAGCACACTCGTACTCAGTCTCTCACTCTTTCACTCTTAGACCTGTGACAAAGTTGAAAATAACATTTTATTTATAAATGATAATGAGGGAGATCTTGATTAACATTGATGATGACTTTTGTTTTTATCTTATTTGGACTTTTTAATCTTGAGTTTATTTTTTAAATTATATAAGACTTTGATTAATGTATCTTGAATTTTAAAATATACTAAATAAATTAAAATGTTAAATTTTATTTTTTTTTTCAGCAAATGGGCTTATAGGTTCAGCCCTGAGTTCAATAAAGATTGGGTTTCAATTTTTGAGTGAAATTAGGGCAATCAAGCTTTCAGACTTAGACCCACAAGAGTCGAGCTCATATAAATCAGACTTGCGCGTTTCCTGACTCTACCCCTGTTCCTTTCTCAATTCATGTCAGTGTCAATGTCAATAAATAGATTTCTTCATGTCAATGTCTTCTCCTGTTGACGTTTATCTAATCTTGCACTTAATTGCATTGGTCATTGTCTACGACCTCCACCAGCAATCCTTGAACTTCACAAGAATCACAACCACACCCTACAACGATTCACACACCCGAGGGGTAAGAAGAGTAGAAACAGTAAGGACAGCGGAAGAAAACAGTTTCGAGTTTGAGATGTTCAATAATTGCTCCCACAAGTAGAACGAGCATGATGGAATGGGAGTTAGTAGAACAGAAGAACATCAGAAACTCGTATACAGACATAAAACCACACCAACCCAATCATTACTCTCATATGAACAACAAATAATGGTTTACAAGATTTCTCATACACCTTTTTTAGTTTAAAAAAAATGAATAAAATTGTTCACTGGCTCATGGAAAAAGGAGGAAATGACAGCTGCTCTTTGTACACTTATCAAGCAGCTTTATATATTCTCTGGTAGCCATGGAGGGAAGAATGAGAAAGCAAGATATAAATCACAAATTTATACTAAGAATTTGGACGCGGACAATGCTTCTTTTCTTTACCCTGTTGCTTTGAATAACTGACTTCCGAGGGTCACAGTTGGAGTGCCTTCACCCATCATTGTTGTCAACTTCATTTCCTTCTCAAGGATCCGCTCAAGTTCCATTACAACATAACTCATGGAAGGTCTTCTCTCACTTGAAGGGCTCAAACATCGAGCCACTAGCAAGATAAATTCTTCCATGCCTTCTGCTGTGAAACTACTTCCCAATCTCTGATCAATGATAGTAGACATAACGCGATGGTCTTCATTAGCTTGCACCTACATTGGAGGAAGGAAAAGATTAGAACATGTCAGAACACCAGACGCTGGTTTTCTGGTGAAATACAACAAGACAAGTCCTGAGAAATTGTTGGGTTAGACATGATCACATACCCATTCAACTAGATTCTGGCTAGAGCCTGAAGTTGGAGATTCTGTTGCTTCCTTCCCACTTAATAGTTCCAACAAAAATACCCCAAAACTGTATATATCACTCTTTTCAGAAAATCGTCTGAACTCTCTAACCCTGCATATACATATACATATATATAAGATCATGGCACATTAGTCCGGAAAAATTTACATGTACAACCACTACGGACACAGATCATTCATGTGCATCAGTCTCAGAGTTGTTACTCGGGGGCAAGGAATATCTCATCGGCTGCGGCTTGAGAAGATGGGCCTGCAATATCAGCTCTTCCCAGGAAATTGCGCAGTCCAGCATCGGCAACCTTAGCAATGAAATTTTCATCCACCAAAACATTGGCTGTTTTGAAATTCTTATGCACCAAGCGGGGGCTCAAGGAGTGAATGTGAGCCAAACCTGCTTAGAAATAGATAGATAAGCATTTTGTAAATAAACATGGACAAGTGCCTCTGACCCTTTATGCATAAATAAAGGATTACCAAGAAACTGAAAGTTTTAAAGTGGCTTACGAAAAAACTTGTGGGGTCCATTCAGATACTGGGATATTTTATCTAAAAAGAAGAAAACTGACACCAGGAAAGCCACAAATGCTCACTGATTTTGCAGAGGATCACCTGTAGCAGCACCTTGAGCTATTGAAAGTCTAAGCTTGAATTCTAGCTTCTCTTTCGATTGTTGACCAGCACCTGCAGGGAGAAATAGAATTGATATGCATAAACTCTAAGAAGGAATCGTTCGTAAGGACAAAGGGAGGGGAGAAGAATCTTTTATCACATTCAAAGCAAACCAATTCATAGCTTGGCATGCACGTTACATGAAACTCAGGCTAGTAATCTATCATATTGTGCAGATAAAATCCATATAATTCGACCAGACAAATATGTATGAAGTGTGATAAGAAGGAGTGGAGTGACTGCTTAGAAATTTACCATACAAGTGACTAGAGACGCTCCCATTAGGCACATATTCGTATATAAGAAACTGCAGATTTTGTTCCTGGCAGTAGCCCAAAAGAGTTACAAGATTCCGATGATGAATGGAAGAGAGGTAGCGAGCCTGAAGTCAAACTCAGTCACATTAGATCAAAGGAAAAAATGATCAATAAAATACCCCAAATTTGAACCCTAAACTAAATGCAAGTAGCCAATCCATTCCAAGTCAAAACTATGAGGTGAAAGTGGCTGGTCAGGATTAGTAATAATAAAAAATTGGTCCCATTGCAGTTGTCGGGACTTTGTGGTGAGATAGAAATACTGATTTGCTCACATTTTATCCACGAGAAATAAGAAAATCCTCTTAAACTGTTGCTTGACGGGAAAAAGACATAATTAGAATAAGCTGATGGGTAAAGAAAATTTTAGCATTCTGAACCAACTATAGGCTAAGGGGGAAACAGCTTAATCAAGAAACAATCAACCCATAATTCCTATTCCCCAGAGAAATATCATCAAGAAGAATTCTAGTTTTTAACAAATTCTCAATATAATTTCCTTTTCTCCAACTATAGTAGCAGGACAAAACACTTCACTTTAATTATACTACAAGATATCAGAGTGTCTTATAAAACCAAGTTTTGGCAGCAGAAAACTGTTTACCACCTCGTCAACAAATTCCTGGCTCAGAAGTCCATGCCGCTTTTTGACGGCCACAAGCATACCATCATGAAGTAAACCTTTGTAAACCTCCCCAAACTTGCCTTCTCCGATCAAATTTTTGTCACTGAAATTCTTTGTGGCCTGAGAAAGTTCATCCATCTCAAACCGCCTTGTATCTCGTAAAGTCAACTCAATCCCACCATGTCTTTCCACTGTATGTAATGGAAGAATACAAGAATAGGTCTGTTGTTCGTATCACTAGAAAACTGACATGCACGTTTCAGATGTTACCTTGGGAAGGATCAGAGGACCCTGTCTCTGAAGTCCTTGAGACACTCCTCCTGCGAGATAGGCAGAAGCATAAGAGTGCTATAACTATCCCTACCAATGCCACGGCCCCTGCAGCTCCTCCTACTATTGCTGCAAGAGACCCTGACATAAGTTATGGGAATCACTTCACTTGTGCCTCACAATATTAATAGCAAGTTTTACACATACAACCTGAAATCCATAGAATAGCAGAAAGTCAAAAGAAAGGACCTGCATTGAATGCGTGACTAATACTGAAGTGCAGAAGACATGAAGATGCAGTGAGTAATCCACAATCAAACAAGAAAAGGGGAAAATCAATATTGATCGAGAAAAAGTTCGTGTAGAATAAAGTGGCTGCGGACCATGGTAAAAATGAAGACTTTTTCAAGCTATAAAATTGAAAATGGCACATTTGAAACAAGGCGCAAAGATCTCAGCCAAATGCATGTTTGTTTCTGATAACTGGATCTTGCGAAATGCCATTATGTTTGGGCATATCGTTGAAATTAGAAGGGTAGGCGAAGGGGAATTACAGATATAGCAGAGGTAGAATTTCTGTCAAATCTGCAGAGCTGTGATCCCCAGATAAATGATAAGGTGGGATCTCAGACAGCCTGCGCTTCATTTACCAATGACAATCTGAATGAACATGCAGCGCCATTATTGCCAAAGCCGAGATTCATCCACATTGCCCCCAGTTGCACCAATCATTTATCCTTGACATAAACCTAACAACCAAATCAAGGTATTCAGTAATTCGACTCGAGAAATAAATACAGAAAGAACAGAGGAGGGCTGGGGACATCAGAAGCAACCACAAACCCCTTTAGGTCAAGACTGAGTTTTGACGTTTCAGTTGACGATACAAGACAATGCCCTGAACCGCCAGGTCTGGATCAATAAGCCGTTTCAAAGTTGTCAAGACTGTAAGTAACCAAAACCCAGAAGAAGGGAGGAGGAGGAGCACCTCTCTATCCCCGTTGTCCTTTTATTAAATTAATTAGAATTAGAAAACTCTCTTGAGGGTATCATAGATGGATGCAAACAATGCCGACAGAAAGTGACCCTGCGCCGACAAACACTTTCAAGTTTATTACTACTTACTCCACCAAACCATCCAGTTCTTCAAATGGTGATCGTATACATGCAAACCCACATATACAGAATGGACCCTTTTGATTCTCTTTGATGCTTCCAGCCGAGCTTAAATCAAATGGAAGCCGGGATGATTGAAGCAGAAGAAGAAAGAATAGAAGACCAAGATGTGAAGTGGACAGAGAGGGGTGGGGACTAAGCGACAGAAAGAGAGAGAGAGAGAGAGATTGATTTATTTACATTTAGTTCGAATACATTTGTGGGCTGTAAAGTGGCATATTTGTTGTCTGATACGCAGGTTGAATGGGTTTATTTTCTGTGTCGTGTACAGGGCATCTTGGCTGTAACAGATTCAGAGAAGACACAGAAGGTGTGTTGGGGGGGGGGGTTGAGAAAGAAGACCCGGGCAGTACAAGTGTAGAATCGGAGAGATGTAACAGCAAATTTACTTATACAAGAAGATGAAGTTAAAAGGAGAGTGTGTGGAAGGGTGAGAAATAGAGCAGAGAGATTCATAGCTGAATGGCTTGTTGCTTGTAGGGTTATTGTACCCCACCAGCCAGCTATGTTGACGTTGCTCCTACTGGCCATTTTAATTACTAGTAACTTGTACCAATAATTTAACCACACAACGCGAGTGAACGAATATATTAGAACAAAGAAAGGAATAAGGTAACGGCAACCTCTACGTCTCCGTCTCTCTCTCTCTCTCTCTCTGACTTTCTCTTTTTAATTTATTCCGGCTTCTCGCACCTACACTTCGGATTCTTTGACAATTTTTTTTAATAATTTATTTGTCACACAATAATTACACGCTGTTGTGCGGTGATGATGATTACCCCGATGATTGCATCCAAAGTTAAGAAATTGCCCCGAACGGTTACCCTTGACATGTTATCCTCACCGCATTGATCTCCCTTCATCCCATAGCATAGTAAGATTTTTTTTTCCCCCGGGAGGCAATGACATCATGGGACTCTTCCACATTTTATTGAGGGTCTAACGAAACGATTTGAATTGAGTTAAGTAGGGATCTTTTAGCGCAAAAATTCTATCACTAATGCTGTTAGATTTTTAGAACTTGAATTTAAAACTTCGATTAAATTGATATAATTCTCGTATTTTTTGAATTAAACACTTCCAGTTAATCAGTGGGATCTTTTCTTGTGCTGTACATTTTATTTAAAATTTATTATGCGATGAAAAGCAACCTTAGCTGTTAAAAAACTGTCGGAAGTTTCCGACCAAATACCATGTGATAAGACTGTAGTTACAAAAGATGAAATGAAATTGTCAATTTGAAGAGATCTGAGATGTCACAGTGTGGAAAATATTGGAAAGCCTACGATGCTATTTCTCACCTCCCCCCCCCCCCCCTCGTGCCTGTCCCTTTCATCAATGTAATGAAGTCTTTTTGTCTTGTCTCCTTCTACTGCCAAGCGGGAATGAGACTATGAGAGTGTGGCAGGGAAGACCGAAAACAATAAGAGAGAGAAAAGAATACTTGCGTAAAAGCTAGCTGAAGAATTTGTTTTGATGTTAAATATATACACGAACAGCTATAATCTCTTTTTATCCCTTTCAATTAATATTTTTGAAAATTATCTTCATTAATTTCACAGCTCTTCGTACTCCCTCTGTCTCTTGCATTTAATACCTTTATTAAAAGAGGTGTATTTCAGAAAAACTAATGCATATTATTTGTACAGCAATACTCTCTCAGCGTCTACATATAAAATATTTTTAATTAAATTTTATATATCAATACAAGTTTATTATTTAGTTAAATTTACATAAAAATATAATACTTTTTTAATTTTATTTTTAATAATATTGTAATTAATATCATAATAATAATAGAAAAAACATATAATCAATGATTTATTTTTTTAAGATAAAAATAAAATTATCTAATTAATTAAAAATATTATTGTCGGTCCTTATATTTAAAAATAAAATAAATTTTAAAAAATATCTTATATGTATAAGGATGGAGGGAGTAACAAGTAATTAACTCAACCAAATTTTTAATGCCTGTGAATTAGTAGTTGACTGGATCTTATACTCCGGTAGAAGAACGAGACTTACGGGCTTATATGAACTGCAACGTTAGACAGCTAACGAGATCGTGATTATGTGATTGGTTTTGAACTTTAATTCGATTTGAAAGATTCTTACTTCCCTGACCTCCTGAGATGGCAAGAGCGGTGGGAGATGGAAAACGATGCGGTTATTATATATGGAAAGACATTAATAATGCACTAACAACCGTGTTTAGTTACAGACGTGTCAACGTCCAGGAATTATTATTGGCGTCCGATAGGTGCTCGTGCCCCAATCACAAATTTAGAGACAATCTCTACAAGTTTTTTTATATTTTAATTATATAAATTTTACCTTATTATTAATCTAAATAATATAAATTTAATTTAAATGGTTCAAAGTAATATTAACTACTACTTTTATAAATTAATTACCTAAATATACTCATGAATGAGAATAGTCTACATTTAAAATTTTTAAGTTATAATTTTTTTAAATTGCCAGATTGAAGATTATTTTTATTTTTTAATATTATTTTTACTGCAAACATTTATAAAAAAATAAAAACAAAATCTCTTCTAGATCATCCAACTAAAAATCTGAACGGTTATCAAGTGATGAGCACCATAATCGCTTATTACTGAAACTCAAATCAATAGTTGGATGCCACTTCCCACCAACCAAGGTCATGTAATTAATTTCACATTGGAATCGATTTCTGGGTATTTAGAGTGTTTTGGTTGGTCTCTCCAAAAGTGGCGGGCGCCAGGGCTCGACTGCTTATTCATTTGATTTATCCTATTCTGCCCCGCACTCAGAATCGCTGGCCTTGTTTCCATTCTGATCCTACGCTGCTCGCCTTACAGTGAAACGAGTCATGCACATCATTATTATTGTTTTGTTCGAGACGAACATCACGTCACTGTGGAAGTGTAGATCGTAGACGACCATATTGCCCCATGTTCTGTTGCCTGACACCATTTTCTTCCTTTCTCTCACCTTTTGGCTGCTTCTTCATGTGTCCACTCACTCGACACGTTTTGTCTGCTGCACTGCTCACTACAAGCTCCAAATCATTGATGCTGAAGGGGGCCAAGGCCAGCTTATGATTCAATTCAATCTCTTTGTGCCAATGCAGGATTTTAGTTCGTGTGAGACAACAGCAGCATGAAGGGGAAGGGTATTCAATCTCTTTCAAAAGTGCAGGAGCGATATCAATGTCACTTTGAGTTTAATTAAACCGACTCAATTTTTCTGTGCATTTCTTGACGTCCCATCTACTTTTTTAAGTTCTTCCCTTGGGCGGTCAATTTCCGAGCCCTGTATTTGGACAGAGAGATAAGCCGGGGGGGCAAGAAAATAGAGGAGAAAAAAAAGAAGAGCTGGACAACAGATTCGAAAGGCTAGAACAAGTACGAGGGAAGCATCAATGGGCTGGGCTTCTAACCAAGGACAGAGATAAAAAATATTGAAAGCGAGCTGGAGAATAAAAAAAAAATTTATTGAGGGCGCAGAGCCAAAATTTTGTCAGAAAAAAATAATTTGATCTACATAATGGGCTGCCCCTGCCTGGTATAAGGTAGCTCAGCGCGTCGGCCCCTTCTCCTCACATGAGATGTAGTGAATATATATTTGAAATATTCTTTTTCTTTTGTTTTTTTTTTTGCCAACATATATATTTGAAATACTCATTTACTAAGATTTCTCTTTTTCCTTTTTCTCTGGGTGAATGCTCACCATTTATATGGCTCGACTAGATTGAAAGAATTTTTTTTTTTTTTAAAGTGATACTGTGTCTTCGATTTTCCTGGTTTATGTAAAGCAGTTGATAATCTGTGGTAGACTATTCACTCAAACTCAGTAGCTTGGAGTGGACTAATTATAAACAGGCACGGAAGGTGAAGGTTAGTAAATTAGTTTGTTCACATTAGTCTGGGGGCTTGCCTTTTATCTAGATCTGATTGTTATTCCAAAAAAAAAAAAAACAGAGAGAAAATACTTATGTGTTTCATTGAATTTAAGGTTTTTTTTTTTTAAAAAAAACGAAAGGTGATTCATTCATGTCAAAAGTTCAAGAGATCAAAATCATACATCAGCAAGATCATTTCTTTCCCCTTCCTCTCCTTTTCTAATGAAAGATGGAGGATGGTTGAAGAAATGCCTTTTTAAGAGAAAGTATGAGCTGTCCCAACAAACACATCAGCATTTCTGATATAATCCTTAAGAACAAAATTTAAGTTAACAGGCCAATCTTTTCCTAAAATTAGTTTAGCATTTTGAGTAATATCCCAAAAAGAATGATTTTGTGGGGAATTTCTCACGATCATGTTAATAGCATTGACGGAGTCAAGATCAATTGAAGGTTAAATTTCACACGTGGATGGAACATGTCAAATTATTTTTAATGACTAAGTCAATATTAATTACATACACCAGCATGTCCCCCCCCCCTTCTTCTCCTTTTTTTTTTTTTTTTAACGATTGATTGAGTTTGTGAATTCAGTTACGTGGGGTGATGCTCGTGCTAATGTATATCGGGCTTAAAGAAAAGGCCCGTACAACGAAAAGAGCCACCTTAGACCAAATGTTCTGCTCCGTTGTGGCGGCACCAATTTCGAAGTCAACGTCATACCAAAAAAAAAAATCGAACTGAACACACAGGTTAATTTCTTGTCGTTCCACGCCTTCTGACGGCCCAGTTTTTCGTAAATGCAGAATCTTCATCCCAAATTTATGTTGACTTTAGCCTCGAAGATTACTCCAAATAAAAGCAACGGCGATTCCATTTTAATGCGATTGTTTATGTTTTTTGCTGTTTGATTAAAAATCGTGCCATCACTTGTAAAATTTAGTAACAATTATCATCTTATAGGATCTGGTTCAGTGAAGAGAAGGAGAGGTGAGGCGAGGAGTTTAACTTTACGGACTCTTGTTTAGTTTGGGAAGAGGGGAGGGGAGGCAATAATATTTAAAAAAAGGTACTTATGCTTTTATATTATTTTACTCCCTTTCTTTTAAAAAAAAGGTACTTATGTCAGAATTTATTTATTTATTTTTGAATCTAAAAATCTTTCATCTCATCTATTTATGACCATAAAATTATTTATGATAAATTCTGGTGATATTTAAAAAAAATTGATTAATGCTAACAAATTATCTCCTTAATTTTAATGTGTTTTAGGGTTAGAATTGAAGACATATATAGCAACTAGCATTGGATAGTCAATGGTACGTAGAAGTGCTATTATGTTTTTTTTTTTCATTGAAGCAATAATATTTAAAACACAATAAAATTAACAGAGATATGTTATTCATAAAATTTGCTCCCCCTAAAAATATCCTTAAATTAGTGGGGGACAAAATAAATTTATGTTTGGTTGGGGGTTTTTGTAGAAAATGGTAGGAGAGTATTTGTGGT